TGGAGAAGCTTGGGTTTAGGGTTTAGGGTTTAGGGTTTAGGGTTTAGGGTTTAGGGACATGTTCAGACAATAGGCACGGGCGACGTCTTCGTCGCAGCTTGCAACTGCTACCCAAAGCTTTTGTGGTATGGTGCGGGACCCTGAATCCCTAAGCCTGAGCCCTAAACCCTGAACCCTAAACCCCAAACCACTGCCTGCCCTAGTGGGCTCTCCTGCGGACATGGTACGGTAGGAAAAAGGCCCTCAAAAAAAAAAACCCTAAACCCTGAACCTTAAACCCCTAAGCCTAGCCGGGGTGTCGGAAGCCAACGATTCTGAGTACTAGTTGTCGTTTGTAAACCAAAGCCCCAAGCGCGAAGCCCTCACACCGCAAGATACCCTGAGGCACGCTCATGTTCACAGTTCTGTCGGCCGTCCTCGTTGGCTGGGAGGCGAGAAACGAAGCAGGAATGCCCGAAAAACCCTAAACCCTAAACCCTAAACCCTAAACCCTAAACCCTAAACCCGAAGTATGAGGTTTAAGATAGTTGATAGTTGGGTTTGGGAATCCTTAGACCCTACCCTAAGGGTCCAAAGGGCCCAATAGTTAGGTCCTCGGTTTTAGGATAGTAGTTATGTAGGTTAGGATTTTGGAGAGTGTATGATTATTAGGTACTTGGACCCTTGGGGTTATAAATCAAGCCTTACACTCTGTATGAAAGCTAAGCACAGCCCTGAGGGAAGGGTGGTCTGTGGTTTCTGGTTGAGGGGGCAGTTTGAAGTTGAGATGCAAAGCTTAAGGGTTCAGGGATTTAAAGTTTGGGGCTTTGGGATCTGCGGGGGTTTTGGCGTTCAGGGCTTCTGTTAGCAACATAATGTCGCTTTCTCGTCCTCCGACACTCGGAGGAAGAGTACCTGGCTGACCAGAACAGTTGCGGGGTTCAATCTTTTGCAGAAGTCTGGCCACTGGTTAAACCATAAACCGGGTTCAGGGTTTACCTTAAGAACCCCAAACCCACATTTTTGTAGGTTCTTATTATAAACCCCTAATATGGGATTTATAGGGACCCTACAAAAAAGTAGGGTTTTGGGTTCTTAAGGTAGGGTTCCTGTCTTCTGTCATGACGGCCGATTTCCGTACAGGAGGTGTTATAGTCGGCCGTCCTTTTCCGGGAGCCCGCAGTTCACGTGTCTGAACGGTTTAGGGTTTAATCGGGGCTTAAATAATTATCCATACTATTTTGGGGTTCCTTACTATAATGATAGTATAAATGAGCCCAAAACCTTATTCTAACTATTAAGGCCCCTACATCAACT